ATAAGTAGAAGAAGAAGTTAATTTGAAGACTGTTTGAAGGAGAAACACCTATATAAACCCAAATTTATAAAATTTAACTTCCAAGAAGTTCCAATAGAGAGACTCTTAAAGCTTCAATTCATTCTCCGGTAAGCCTCTCTCTTTGTAATTTCTTCTTGTTTTTCTTTAAAATTCTCATAAAATATGTTTTCTGCATTTACTCTTCTTCTTCTTCCTCCTCCTTCCAGATGATTAAACATTCAATGCAAAATTACATTAAATTCCTTGGAAATAAATAAATTATCCAAAATTTCTGCAACTTTCTTGTTTCCTCTCATAGTAACATTCCTTATTTCTCATAATTTATTGTTCTCTCCTCGTACCTCCTGCTTGTTTGGTCTTAAAGAAACCACCCACCAAATCATTAATATCTTCAAAAATCACTTTTTTCTTTATAAAAAAAGGGCAGTCTTTTTGGTGGGTTAATAGATACTAAAGTTTCAATTTTTCTCCATTTTGATTTAAATTTTCAAAGTCCCAAAATTAATCTTGTTTTTTTTTGTCTCTCTCTCTTTATTGAAGCATACCCTTAATTATGGGTGGATTAATGAGATTTGGTGAATTAGAAGAACAATTTGCTCAGATTTCAGACACTACAATTGAAGACAAGATCCCATTTCTTCAAATGCTTCAATGCATGGACCCAACTTCTTTTACAACAACAGAACCAAACCAGATTCTCCAATCACTTCTTCAGATCCAAACCCTAGAACCAGAGAGCTGTCTCACTCTTGAAACCATCAAAAGAGATCCGGGTCAAACAGACGACCCGGTAAAAGATCCAAGAACAGAGAGCGGAGCAGCAACAACGTTCAAAGAAAAACGAAAAAGGAAACGAACAAGAGCTCCAAAGAACAAAGATGAAGTAGAAAACCAGAGGATGACTCACATTGCCGTTGAACGTAATCGGAGACGACAAATGAACGAACACTTAAACTCACTCCGATCTCTCATGCCTCCTTCGTTTCTTCAACGGGTAAACACAAAAAAAAAAAAAATTCTTTAATCAAATTTTTAATCTTTTCCACTAATTAAGAACATAATTTATTATTAGTTGGTAGACTTTAATTGATATTCGGTGCTAATTAATTCCATGAATAAAAAGTTTTCATCTTTAGATACGTAGGCTACTTTTTATTTTATTTTACAATTTATTCACCAATCACGGCAAAAATTTCGACTAATTTTTACAAATGGTGCTAAATCCATAAATAAAAGTTTTAATCTTTGTATATTTGGGCTACATTTTTTTTATTTACAACTTATTCATTAATCACAGAAAAATTTCCACTAATTTTAGTAAATTTGAGCTTAATATTCGGTGTTGAATCTAAAAATAAAAGTTTTTAATTTTTATGGGGTGTTAAAATGATAGCTAAAACGATGTCGTTTTTATAGGGTGATCAAGCATCTATAGTAGGAGGTGCAATAGATTTCATCAAGGAACTCGAACAGCTTTTGCAATCTCTAGAAGCTGAGAAACAGAACGAAGGAGGAACTAATGAGAATCCGAAAACGGCGTCGTCCTCTACATCTTCGTCTCGTGCATGCACCAACTCCTCAGTTTCTAGCGTCTCAACTACATCGGAAGATGGATTCACGGCGAGATACGGCGGTGGAGAGACGGCTGAAGTGGAAGCTACGGTGATACAGAATCATGTGAGCTTGAAGGTTCGTTGTAAGAGAGGAAAAAGACAAATCTTGAAAGCTATTGTCTCCATTGAAGATCTTAAGCTCTCTATTCTTCATCTCACTATCTCTTCTTCCTTTGACCTTGTCTACTACTCTTTCAATCTCAAGG